TGAGAGAGAGAGAGAGAGAGAAAGCATGAGAGGGGAGAGGGTCAGAAGGAGAAGCAGACTCCCCGCTGAGCCAGGAGCCTGATGTGGGACTCGATCCTGGGACTCCGGGATCATGACCTGAGCTGAAGGCAGTCGCTTAACCAACTGAGCCACCCAGGCACCCTCAGGTATGATTTCTAAACATTGAAATGTATTAAACAACCTCACAAATAAATCACAGATATAGTAGAGATTATAATATAAAGACAAACAGAACTAAATAAATATGAATCAGCCATAACCCCATCACCCAGCAATAGCTACTGAATTACATGTATTTTGAAACATTTTAGTGCAAACATATACTTTTACAGCAGGGGAGTAAAATGGAACCATTTGCTATCTTGTTACCAGTATTTTTATTTGTTTCAATATCATAAATATCATTCTGGGTTAATCTAATTATAATATTTAGTACCGTGACAATTTTTCCTTAGGCAGCTCTACCATGATGAAAGAAAAAACCCACTAAGGCTCTAATATTGGATATTTGTATTAATTCCTTTCCTTTTAGCTGTAATAAGAAATGTCTTAGTCTTTCCACATATTTAAAGTTTTTTCTTAGAATGAATTCCATTAAGTGGAAATGCTGGGTCAAACAACATTTTTTAAGACTTTTGATACAAAATATCAAATTGTCTTGCAGAGAAACATCAACTGACAACTCCATCAGCTAGTATATGAGAGTGATTTTCACATATTTTTGCCAACATCGGCATTATTATGCTTTGAATTTTTCACATTATTATGGAAAAAATTCTACCTTTTGTTTTAATTTCATTTTTATCAAAATATCAATATCAAATACCAAAAACTTCCAATGTTTTAGATGTTTCTTTTGCATTTACCTTTATACACACACACACACACACACACACACATATACATATAGCTACTGCTTGTAAAAATTATTGATTTTCTGTTTGGTAGATGTAGATTTTTGTCCTCTTCCCCTTCCTTTTCCAATGTAGCAAAAGCATAACTTTTTTTTTTTTTTGAATTAAGTCCATGTTCATTGTTTTCATTATCATGACTTGGTAAATACTATTTTTTGTTGAATCAAGCAGTGTACTATGATTACATTTCCTTTCTCATTCAACTTACTGTTTTCCTGGAGTTAATAACTGTCTTATTTTGTCATTTGCAAAGATTTTTCTTTGGAACTCTTACTTCCCACAATTTCCAACAGTGCTGTAAAATGTCTTTAAGCATTTTCTACAAAACCAAACCTGTCAGATAATGAATCGGTTCCAGTATACCACCCTTGTCCACTTGCTCTAATGTGACCTGGTTGCTTTTAAGGTCTGCCACACATCTGACATTCTGAGATTTCTTTTTGCTGGCATCAGGGCTCTGATATATTGAGAGAACGCATTGTGATAAAGAGTCCAAGATCTGGAGCCAAAGTGCCTGAGTTTAAATCCTGGCTCCACCACTTACCTGCTGGGTGACTTGGATAAGTCACTTCTCGTTTCATCTGGAAAATGAAAATCATAATAGTGCCAGCTCATAGGATTGTGGTAAGGACTTTAGACTTAACACATGTAAAACATTTAGGACAGTACCTGGCATATAGTAAGTTGAACATTTTATTTTTTATTCAACAAATGTTTATTGAATGCTTACTATATGTGTCAAGTTCTGTTCTAGGCACTAGGATACAAAAGAGAAAATTTCTGCTCTTATGGATTTGGGGAGATAGATAAAAACTAAAAACATATAATAAGATACATATAAGATTGTGAGAAGTGCTATAAATGGTGGAAAGACTATGTGATGGTAATACTGTTGGCATCTCTTCCCTACTCTGCATTCAGTGACCTCACTATGTAGATTGAACGTGGGCATAATGGGATTATTTAGATCCTGGAAATAGACAAGAACTACAAATTTCAGCTTTATTGTTTTTTTGATTGTTAGATTTAAGAGAGTGATGGAGAAAATGCTTATAATACAGATTAAATTTAAAAGTGTGTTGTTTCTGTAACTATTACATGGTGAATGGCATAAAACATTCAGGAAATATTTTCCAATATTTGAAAGCATTATACAACTCAGCAAAATAGTCACTCACAGCATTGGCAAATGAGTGAAGTTCTGACATATATCTTTGTTGTTTTACATTCATCTTGTTAACATAAATGAAAATAGCAATCAACATTCAGGTTCGAACTACACTCATTCCTTAATTGTAACCACAGGTTGGCTACAGGTAAAAGAAATTGGCAAAAATCAACAACTGGCTCTGAGGAATTTTCAATAAAGAGTATTGTTTGGCTTATTCCTATTTATATATTATGCTATGCATCTTTTATATCAATAAAATTTATTACATGTATGGATACATACATAACAC